GCAGGCGTGCATGATGCCAAAGCTTTGCACTATTTAAATCCTACCACCCCACAGGCCAGGTGGCGCTCAAGGCTGGTAAGAATATGTCGTCCAGCCGTTTAGATCCGGGGTTCATTAACTTTGATGGGAAAGATAACTTCCGCCCGACGGATCTGGCTTTTGAGAAAGAAATAGCCCATGTATAACCGATGGCGCCATCGTGTCATTACCCGCCACAGGAAAAAAAATCGGACGAGAACGTCTGTCACGGCAGAAATCTCGCCAAAACCGAAGCATTTCCTGCAGGGTGACTTAAGTCAGCGGTTGTTGCGGTGCAGGGGGCGCGGCGGCGGACAGGAGCGGCTCGTGCGAACGCTCCTTAACGCTCCGAGATGCGGATGAGCGGCAACTTCCAGACGAGCCCGCGGGCGCCGGCCAGGACCATCGGCGTGCATGCGTGGCCTTCGATGAGCCGGGCGGGGCTAGGAGCGGGAGAACGATGGTATGACGGATAAAGGGAGCGGCGGAGCACGGCCCAGCCGGATGGAGTGGACGAACAATGAGAACAACTGCGGGAAGGAGGAGTTGGAAGGGCTGCATGAATGGGTGGTTTGAGGCGGCTTGGTCACTTAGCCACCCGCCCGGACCGGGGCGCAGTGACTGGGGAGCGCCTAAGGGACTCGGAGCTGTACTCTAGCGGAGAGTCCTTCGTTTTCGTTCGTCGAAGGGATAATGTTAGGTCTTGTAACCAGTGACTGTGGGTTGGAGTCTCATTAAGGGTTGACTTCTGGGCCCGGACATGTAGAACGAATAGTTCTAAAAAAAAACATGAAAAGGGAGCGACAAGCCCGGATGTAGCACAGAAAAGATGTAGAGTTGTTCAAAAGAAACAGATTCCGCAAAGGTGTAGTGAGGGCAACAATTGATACATACGAGGGGTGACAAGGAGAACCCAGGAAAGCACGGCGTAAGAAGAAACACTGCGCAGTCGGAGGCGACGAAGCGGAGCGTGCGAGGTCCTAAGACGGCATATTTCTCACAGCTCGGCAAACGCACTGCGGGTTAGAGCTCCGCGGAGCTGAAAGGGAGCTCTCTGCGTATTTATTCGCGCCGGACTAGCCGGTTGAAATGTTAGCCGAGCTCAGACGCGCGAGACAGCATCTGACGGAGGCGACGCCGGTTGCCACCACCAAGGGGAGAGTGCTCTGTCGGAGAGGGGCATTATGCAGTGGCGCATCCGGCTCGGGCGTTGAAGCCGTTCCGTGCAAAATTCGTCGTAGCCTCGGGCAGCCGCTGCCACCGATACGGCGGGTTTCTGAATTGGAATAGTCTCCTTAGGCAGGCTTGGCGGGGGGGGGGGGGGGGCTGCGAACGTTCGGACCTGGACCCCCTGTGCACGGCAATGCTTCAGATCATGTAATTGAAGGCGGGTTGCACGCGACGCTATTGGCGCTTCCGATTCGGTGCTTGTCTGAATTGACCAGCAACGTTTCAGGGAGCTCAAGGGATTTGGGGGCAGTAACGTGCTGACAGGGACACTGAAACTCAACGGTATTTCCCTGGCAGTTCCCCTAGCCCGAAGTCTGGGGGGAGGAGTAGCGCAGGCACGAATCTAAGTGAACCAACTGACAGAGTAGTCGTTATTTTGAAGACATTGGCGAGGGAGGAAAGCTTTCCCTCTTCAAGTGTTCGATTTCGGCGAGCTGGTACTGCCTGCGCACCCTGGCTTGGCCTGTAATTAGGTTCTAATTTGGCCCTCTACTAGACTGCAGCATTTCCGAGTGGTACTGACACGACACACGGCCCTAGTGGTGATGTCTAGATTAGACCTGATGCAAATCAGTCTCTGCCAATATGGGTAGTACAAAAGCAGAAATAGTTAAATGAAGACGTTTTTCAACATGTTCATTTGGGAGCAAAACGCATATTCGAAGTGCGCGATATGTCGTCGGTAAATATGTCTTATTGGTCCAACTGAAGCCTGGTTTATTCCATTCCATATGGGAGTCATCCGCCAACACGGTGACCTGGCTCGTACCTGAACTTTATGCTAGTCAGACCTGCTGGGTGGGACGCATGAGCTGCTCGCTACTCCACGGCGTGCTCACGTCAGCCCCGCAACGGCCGATAGACTAACTAGCCACACATGCTGAGCTTGAACCCGCCAGGTTTGGAGACCTGTGTTCTTGGGAGCGGGACGGAGAACCATGAACACAACTTCAACTGAAATAACAGGGAACTATATAACGGATACCGTTCTGTTTTTAAGTTTTGTTCTGAAAATTGCACCACATGCTGGCTTCCGTAACAGAATGGAATTACCACTGCTAAGAATACATCGTCGAAGTATAACATCGTTAGGCCCACTGAAACTAAGCGTTTTCAAAATCGCCAGATTGACAGCACGGCCGACGAGCCGAGTGGGCGCGGCGGTCAATGCTGCGTGCCGCGCCCGCCCTGAACGTGGGCACGCTTTTTGCAGCACGCCCGTGTCCGCTCGCTGACATTCATTCCAGACATCTTTGATCAGCAGCGCTGTCAGAGCGGACGATTGGTCCCCCGCAAACTAACAATGGAACAACAGCTTACCACACACGTCTCCGCTCGCACGGCGAGGTTCGTGCATGTCTCAAAGCTCGCAGATTGCTAAGGGTAATATAGAACAAGTGCATATATATATATACATTTATGCCAAGTACCATTTTTTCATCGTTTGAAACGTTTTGGAATATTGCCCACCTCTATAGGTGATCCGGCCGCTGCTGAATACACTATGTAAAAGTGATTATTGCCCCGCCCGTCAGCGGATCGTTCTGCTCTGCAGACCTCTCGCCGCCCCACATCGCTCCCCATTGGCCGGTGACCCAGCAGCCGATGATCTCCACTTGGCACCGGAGCTTACATCATGCCGTGCCCACCTGATGGATTCCCACTCCACTCTCGCCAGCCATCGCACTGTCGCTAATGGCTACATCGCGTTCGAGCTAACGCCGCGCCGCCGGCCATTTCACAAAGCGATATCTTTCCCGACGCTTCCCTCGGCGGCGAATTTTCCGCGGCGGATTGTCCGCCGGCGGTCGTCGAAAAGTCGGCCAGAGCCGGCGCCAGATGATGACTGGCACTTGTTGCTGGGATCGCTCACCGGCCAAAACAACTGTGATTGGAAAGTCGTGCTAAACTCATCGGCGGGCTCAAAGCCCCAACTACGGCCGCCTGGGGATCGCGTAGACGGCCCGCTGCCCGTGGCGTGCGTGAGGTCGCTGGGGCAGTTATTGGATGACTTTCAAGGGATTAACCCGTGTACAACAGCGTATTTTTGGGACCAGGCTTAAGCTGATGAGTTTAGCACAAGTGGGTCAACTAATACAGAAACGTGTTTCTAAATGTAAAGTGTTGAATAAAAATGTCCTTCCTTGCCAATCATGTGCGGTCTGATAGCTCTGTGGGTAAGAGCATCGGTGTTTTCTATTCGGACTCGCTCACCCTCGTTTGGATTGGGTTAAAGTCTCTGTTCCCGTTCGCTATTTACCCCGGACCGCGATGGTCTGCGGCCGGTGGCAGCAGCTACGTAAACGTCCAGGTGACGCCAGAGGACTGGACGGACCGTGACAATCCTGGCGGTTGCATTGTGCCTTCACCGCGAAATTGTGCCATGCACTTGAAATTTTACGTTCGGATGGCGGGGTAAAGCTTGCGCAACAACTCGCTGCTTAGCGGGAACTCTGAACCCCATAAACCCACTCCTTCGAAACGTTTGGGCTAGCCTTGAAAGAAAAATTAGTTACATTAACACTGTTCTGATGCAAATGACTCGTGTTTCATCATGCAATACCTACGATGTGCTCTATGTAGTTGCTGCATTTTACTGCAGTGACGTGTGATGAAAAGCATGTCAAACACGTGACTAACATCACTGACCGGCGGTGTGTACGGCCAGGCACGCCCGGTTGTCCGCCGTAGCTCAGGTGGTTAGGATGACCTATCGGATCCACATACCCGGAGCGAGGTGGGGTCGAGTGTTTTAGGTGTTCGCCTCTGGGTTGGGTGGCACTGCGGCTGATGGCAGAGCGGTGCTAAAGGTCAGGTGACGTCAGACTGTCGGACGGGCCGTGGCGATAATTACGATGCGTCAAACTTTCGCCGCGAAATTCTGCCGTTGGCCGGGAATTTTACTATCGGTAGATGTGGGTCAGAGGTCTCGCAACGAATACTGCTTAGTGTCGGCTCCATTACCAGAAATCCATACCGTTAAAACGTTCGAATGAAATCTTAAACTGATCTTTTGAAACATTAGGAAACGCTACAAGACATAAAGGATCATAGGGTCGTATGGAACTCTGAACAGGTATTTATAGCAGCACATCGTTTTTTAACTCAAGCCAGCTTGTGCTGGCTTAACACCAGCTGGCTGGTGCTACGCGCTTAACATGAGAGAATGAACAGAGGGAGGGTGGCATGTGACGCGGCCCCATGCCCCAAGCTTTGAGAATGTTCAACATAAGCTGATGCCAATGCATAGAAAGATCTATTTGTAAATTAGCGTTTCCTTCTCGCCCTTCCCTACGCGCCACACTTCCTGAGATGTTCGTATGCCTGTACTGATAAAGGATAGTAGGTGAGGTTTGCATACACCACGGCGGGTTGTCCAGGATATTCCAAATGCATGCCAAATGAAGTGTTCATAATGTTCGAGTAGTGAAACGGCTAAAACTCTGAACAGCGCTGAGACAAGTCGCTTATAATAGTACCGAAATCCGTACAGACTCCGGAACACGACTCCTGCATTTGTATATTTGTTTCACGCAACGTGTGTAAAACATCACGAACTGGAAGGCTTAAAACCATTATTTGATGAGAACAACCAAAAATTTGGGTAAGATGTATTATCTCTGAGTCCCGTTATTGCACATGGACGTCGGGCTTCCTCGTGGTATGCAGCCCACCGATATTCGTGTTGGTATGTGACCATTATGCTCTACCGCCTGCTCCCATTTGGTAACAAGTACACCGCTGTCATGCAGGCGAGCACCCGGCCGCTATGCAGACGGGCGGCGTGGGCCAGGCCGCGGCTCCGGCCTTGCTGCTGCTCTCCATCGCCCACCAACCTTTACACAGCTTGCTGCACCGCGTAGAGACGACCCGCCGGCGATTGTAGCGGCGCCCAGCGCAGACTGCAACGACGGCTTAACGCCCAGCGCAGGCCGCAGCGACGGTCCAGCGCCCCTCCATACCGTCCGAGCCGGCCCTCGGCGCCCAGGCCGCCGTCTGTGGGCCGTCCCGCCGTTTGCGAGAGGTCCGGCGGCCGGACCACCTTCTGCGCCAGGTTCTGCTCTGTCATGCCGCGCTGGAGGGACGGCAGCTCAGGCTGTGCGCGGGCTGATGCGAGCCCTAGAGCCGGGGACGGCGGCCGGCGACGCTGCTGCACCAGCGCTGGCTGTGGCCGCCGCCGGGGCAGTGGTGCTCTCTGCTTACGGTGTGAGTTAGTGCAGGAAGCTGGTGCAGGGGCAGCGGGACGAAACCGCTACCCTGGCGCGGAGACCATGGCTTCCCTACTGGAAGAAGGGGAGTGGACCATGGCGGGCGGCTATAGGCGTTGGCTTGAAGAGCCTGCTCGTTGGAGTGAGGCCACGGTGCGGTGCGCCTGCTCGGCGTGAGGGGACTCAGATACGGCCGCCGCGAGACTGTCGGGTGCTCCACCGAGGAAGTGGAGGGGAACCTGCTCACCTCCTGACGCGGGTCGATGGGGTGAGGACACTCTTTCAAGCGCGCGAGACTGAAGGAAAGTCTTGGAGCACGTGGGGAATTGGGTGGGGATCACTCAAGCTGCGACAATGAGTCGTCAGATCGGCTTGTAATAGGTCGAATGGTTTCTTGTTAGTCGTAAGTGATCTCACGGATGAATGCTCCGTTGTGTTTACGTGGTCCAGATCGAAGTTTCTGTATGTGTGTATCCAGCTTGAGGGTGCAGACGGTGTCTGCATTCCAGAGATGTGCTGGACATAAGTCTGACCAGTGTGTAAGAACATGTTGTGTCTTTCCTTTCACCACGTAACTTTAAGATCCGCAGGACTATCAAGTGGTTTCAGTCATCCAGTTTGCCGAGCATCGATGTTTTTCCTTTTTTTGCATTTCATTTGCACTTTGAGAATAATGCTCATTATGAGAAGCTTTATAATTGTATCTTTGAGCGATGCCTCCTTCACAAACCACTTTTGGTTGCAACTGTTTCTCTTCGCTGCATTCAGGATAAGCTGACTGCCAAAACACGTCGCATGTCTGTGAATCGCTGTTCGGAGCCTTCATCTGTTAAGCAAACATTCAGTTTATATTGTCCCGTCATTGCAGGCATCATGCACTATTAACTTGACCCCTTGTAACATTGGTGGTCGCACAACAAACACCTATTTTGTGGTAGGCTGGGAGTTGCTGCCTCCCTACATGGCGCTTTCTTACGACATTTGTTTTTTGTTGGAAAGATATGCGGTGGAGTGCTAGTGGAACATAATCGGTGCGCGGTACAAACCAACATATAATATTGGAACTGTGTCAGCTTGATCCAGGGCAGATTGCCGCAAATAAATGCACTTCAAATGTGTCGTCTGTTTCTGTTTTTCTATTACCTTTGACATAATCCGCTTATCGGTTACTATGCCTGTTTCGGGGTGGTTTCACAGCGCTGGGAAACTAGCCGAATGCCTCAAATCAGAAAGACTTGAACAGTACATGTTGCGTGGAGAAAACTATACAATTATAGTATTCTTACTGCGGCGTGAACATCCTCCGCTGATTATTTGAAGTATGTGGTGACACGGCTGTGCCCCCTGTCACTAATCCGCGCTGAGAAGAGGACACCATTAGAATCCCCACCAATTGGACTTTTCTCCTTAAACCTCGGGTCATTCGGGTCATTTCCCGCTCCCCCGCAGCATTTCCTGGCATGGGTCTTTTTCTTCCCTGACGTTTTTCACCGTTGCAATCAAGTCTTTGAGGCTGGCATTCTAAAACTCGCTGACTACCAAATATCGATTGCACATATCTGTCAAAATGTTACGCTATGCGCTACATACAGGGCAACCACAGGAAGGACCGTCACGGAGCAAGTCAAGGAGAATCGCAGGTCGTGCCACTGAAACGTGGCGACGGCGTTTGTTCTGGACTATGCCTGGCCAGTCCTCGTTGAAGCGTGGCATAACATCGTTCATTACATCAAGGCTAATCTTATTTAGATAATATGTCATGCATGCAAACTAGCATGGACGGATACGAGAGTAATATGCAAAGAAGTGTGGATGCTTATCTGTCCACATGAGCTATGCTGAGAGGCTTACGAAAGCAGTGCAATGTTTGTAATAGAGGATTTCGAAGGCTTCCAATAATGAAATGCCTGCAGTTACCGCATACCGTTTAAGTTTACGGCTATATTGCATGTACGCCGGCGTCGAAAGGCAATCGCGTTGGGTGGAGTTACACCAGGCAACTAGTTAAGCTGAGCCGCCAAGTCAATAAGCATATGTTTTGGTCTACCGTTGGCAACATGTATGTCCTTAATGGTAAAATTAAAGTACATTCAAGTATAAACAGCTGCAGTATTGGTCGATGTGAGTGAGAGATATTTTGACTTCGAGCTCTGTCGTTTTCCTGTTGACTCGGTAGCATTATTTGAATATAATTTCAACATTGTCTTGCATATGTATAGTAAAACATAGCAGAGGACGATTCATAAAAGCAAGAAAGGAGGTGATATATATCCTTCTGTAGTGGCTGGCCTTAGTGCACCGTCGCAAAATATGATTAAAAGATATCCTGATTGGTAATCAAACTAATCATTTGCTTAGTGTTTTGATATCGGCCACTGCCAAAGCGACCACGTGTTTTGAATATTAGGATCGGCCGACATTTGCGTTCTAAAATTTCCGGCACTGTCGTTTTTGCCTGCGAAACCCCAGTCTTATGGTCCAAGCAATAGACTTTATCAGGTACGACTTAGATTGTACAATGCTTGGCATTATCACCTTCGGAGCCCTCTTGTCACTTAGATAATGTTACGCAATGATTTATGCTTTCGCTTGTTCTCATAAAACCTAGGTCTGTCATGGCGTTCCAAGCATTGCTATTCAGCAAAATTGCACACCAGACTGAGTTAAAGTATTTCATCCATCCTCAGCGAAAGAAAACAGAACATTGAGAAGCCATGACTTAGGATAAAAGTCCACCACCCCGTCATCTGCAATTCTAGCAGCCGTCATCCTACAACGCTGCGAGGGTTCACGAGTCGTCTTGTTGTACGCGACTTGTCAATCATCGTTTACTTGGCTGAAAACAAAATGCTCTGTGAGACGTTTCTCACAACTGAATATGCGTCAAAACCAATGCTACGCTCTTTTCTTCTCCACCCAAGTACTTTCCAAAAACATGTCTTACGCTCTGGCCGCAACGTGGCTCCTGAAACGTCAAAACCAGCGCGGTACACTTTGAAATTTCAGATGTTCCAATGGATCAGAAGATCCATTGGGACATCTGACATTGGACAGTCAACATGGGACATTAGACTGTTAACCTGTGCGCCGGTGAGCCTGTGGATACAGCTGTACCTGGCTTTAGAGCCTGCTCTTTGTTAGGAGACGCGTACACTCGCACACACCCCAGTAGCTAACCTCATGGTGTATTAATATCCTCTGCTAACATTTCCTATTGCCTTCACGCGTAACGAGGATCTTGTGTATTGCGCAGTTTCCCACACACGAACACGGAGGATATTTATAAATTATCCGCAACACTGCATCGAATAGTCCTTCGGCGAAATATTGCTTTCCACCGAAGGCAGGTAGACTTTGTCATATGCAGTAAAAGACCACCAAAAACGCTCTTTCCGGCAACATGGGGTTACCTTTGGACTGCAACAGACACCTAATGTTGTCCGGGGAAGCCACATATCTGGGCTCAGCAATCAGTCGAAATTACTCGTGTAAGCAGGTCGGTTGGGTTATCCTTACCTAGACAGTACTACCAGCGTGATGAACATGTCAAGCTCTGTACCTCTATCACGCAGTTTGTTGCCTCGAATGACTTTGATTTCTCCTTCCACCTCGAAGGGAGATGCCTCAAACTTCCCCGTATCCAGCCCAGAGCGGTAGCGGCGTCCGTCCGACGTCGATACGTGACCTCTCGCGTGCAGACGCGGTGTCTGCCGCACAAGGTGAACGGGCGAGCAGCCGGCAAGCCATCCACCAGTTCCAATCTGCACAGGGTGACATTTTCAGAGAATTCACATGTGGCTGGTTGCACTTGACTGCTGGCTCCGAAATAAGGAAAAACCACACGGGCGCCTTACATAAGAGGGATACACCCGATGCGAATAGACGAACACATCCGGATACAGCGGGGAGAGCGCGGCTCGACCATGAGGTCGACCTCAGGATCGCCGCAGGGGGAGCTGGAGGATGTTCTTGGTCTGGAATCGCCAGTCACGGGACACCAGTGCACCACTCGGATGTTTATCACCAGCGGTGTCTGAGGGTGCTGGTCCCGGACCGCGGCAGGCTCCCATGAGATCACCATCGTCGATCTAATCGCCCAGCAACGCCATCGCCCACGTCAGATTACTTCTTCTCTCACTGCCCTAGTCCACCAGCCCTAGTCGCTCATCCTCAGGGAGCTGCAACCAGACCCGTTTTGAAGGATCTTGATACACACAGGGTTATCTTTATAGGTTAACACTAAGCTTTCGACACTTGTCCTGGACTCCTCTTACAACAAGGGCCGCAGGCGTTCTGTCTTCGGCATGACAGGTGGCACTGGCTTTTCAACGTACAAGTAGGCTTGGCTTCTCACATGTGACATATTGTCTTAGGACCTCGCTAGGTCTGGTTTTGGCGTTTTTATTGTGCTGTTCTGCATTGGCTGTCATGCAAAACATGCTCTTTTTCGTTTGCACCATAGAAAAGCTTCATGGCATTGGCCAAAGAGAAATTATCCCACGACGGCATGCGCTTGCACCCTTGGCCCTCGCTTCTAACTCCTTTAACAGTTTCAGTGCAGCCTTTCAGTCTGGTTTTTATCCCAAACGGCTAATCGCCATAAAAATCACTCAAAACTTGTTCAAGTTAAAATGGCCCTAGTTCCGATTTTCAAGTTTGTTGGCAGATCAGGGACTCG